AGCGACTCGATGGCACATAACAACAAGAACAACTGCATACAGTTGTACATTTTTCTTCTATTTGTTAAAGTGTCTCCTTTTGTGTGTGTGAGTGTGCTTGTGTTTTGCTTTTACCTCCACAAATTTAAAAAGTAGATTTTGTGCTATATAAGAAATTCTGAATGTAATTTTAATTTCCGCTCCTCCTGTTTTCCTTGCTAATTCCCTTGTGTCTGAAATTCTTAGTTGATAATATACCATGGATTGTCAAAAGAACAAATACAGCTCTCTTCAAAGAAGTACAGCCAAATGTTCTTTGTGGCCATACATAGTGAGAATTGTCTTGTATATTTTGGATATATTATCAGGATAAGAAAATCACTGGAGAATAAAATCATATTTTATAAAGTCAATGAGGAAAAAAAGGAATACCATCAACAAGATAGGGTGGCGCAATTTCAACAACATACTCACAGAAGTCTTTGTGAGGATGACTCAGTATTGGGGCTGTTCCTTCTATTGTATTAAGTTCTATGAGTTGGAACAGCACCTTAATATGACAGCACTGATAAACTACGATGGAAAGGCTTGTTTTGTACTTCCTTGACATAATTTCTACCACTTAATAAATTGGCTTCAATCTGTGTTGTTGATTTTATGTGACATTGAGTCAACCATGACTCATAGTGTCTCTATGAACAACGTATGTGAATACTGCTATAGTGTCAGGATTTTTGAAAATTGCCTTTCTAGGCATTTCCTTAGCCACCTCTGTGTGCATGTTCATGATGTTGACACATAAGAAATCATCGGTCAGCATCATCTGCCTCATCAATAGCTTTGGAACCAGTATAAGAAACAGAGCTGCAAAGATTGTAGAGAGATTATGGTGAAACATAGCCTGATGGAGCCGTTGATGTGAAACCAGAAATACTGACTTAGGAGTGCTATTAGTTGAGACTTTTTGGACATTGAAGAAACTATAGGTTGCTGGACTAAATCGTATTGCTAGAGGAAAAAAGAAATCTATCTGTACTGTCCCTGCTACCCTCTAACTTAATTTTTTCACAAACTCTACAATGTTTGATTAAGCAATTTGGTTTTGAATAAAAATACATATTTTTCAATATTAGTTAATTAAGCTAAAAACTGTAACCCCCCCATATTTTATAAAATGTATTTTCACTAAAAGTATCATTACTTTTGTAATTTTCACAGTTTGTACTCATATTGTCTGTGTTCTATTGATGATAATCACATCCTATTTGCTTTTAATTCTTATATTTTTGCTTATTTTTCAAAACTAAAAATATACCTAAAGATTTAATGTTTTTTTTCTTGAACTAATGGGAAACAGAAGCAGAGAGTTTAAATTAATATTTTAGGTGTCCATCGTGAACTGGAATCCTCCTTAGGGGTGAGGATGGTAAGACATCATCTCATATAATTCGCACATGTTGTCAGAAGAAATACCTCCATAGAGAAGAACAATATGCTTGGTAAAGTTTATGCAGATACAAAAAAGAAGATGAGGTATCACAGTGATTACAACAATGTTCTCACATAGATCAATGATTATCAAGATGATGTATGAAATAACAATATTTATGTTTTGCTTACAATCTCTATGGATTGGAAAGGAATCGATGGCGCCTAATAATAATAGCAATGACTTGAAGTCAATAGACTCTGGTCTTTGTTGATATCCAGAATTATATATTGTCTTATCTACTTATTGATTGAGAATAAAACTATTGATTAAAAACAGCATCAAGATGCTATTACAGGTTTTCTTAACAAAACTTTCTTTTGAAAGTTTTAAACTTCACAGTTTTACCTTTTTTTCCTTAACCATGGAATAAAACAATTTCCTAAGGGTATTTTAGATAGCTACAGGACAATTCCATTGTGAGATAAACCATGTAACTAACCTTTTGAGAAACAGTCATTTATAACCTCTTACAGTGACTATAATCAACACTGATCTGTCCTTAAGTGACATTGTGTGTATTGCATTTGTCAGCAAGAGTAGTGTTTTTGATGAATCAGAAATCTATGACTCACTAGGAACTGAAAAATTTACTATATAGTCTTAATGATGTGCAAAATAATATGAATTATGAAAGTTTTCAACCGAGAAAATTGCTTCTATTTGCTTTAAGTTCTATATTTCTACTCTCTTATGTAGAAAGCATAAAACTACTACTTTGTATTAATTATGTTTGTCAAAATAAATATTGTTTGTTTGTTTGTTTTTTATTTTTTTTGTTTGTTTGTTGTTATGTGCCATCGAGTTGCTTGTGACTCATAGCGACCCTATGTACAATAGCTCTAAACTCTGCTCTGTCCTGTGCCAATCTCATTGTCTGTAACACACTCATCCCAATTGCCCCAGTCACCGAATCAATCCATCT